TGACTGCGCCCCCGCAGCTCAGCCGGCTGTACCCAACAACAGCAGCTCCCGCTGCATTAAGTTCAAGAAGATAAACCATAAAATCCTAAACCAAAAACTTAGCGTGGCGTTATACGTCTTCAACAACTTTTTTCACAAGAAGGAAAAATAGTAAAAACCCTAAATTTGGAAGCTCTGTATTGCTTAGTGAAGACCCTCCTCTTTATCAGGTGCAACACTTCTGTAAGACAAAAAACCGATGCCACCACTTTTTCTATTAAAATGTTTTTGGGTTTTTTTTAAGTGCACTTAATGGATTTTTGCATTGACATCAAGGTAGCACATTAATACTTGGAGAAGTAACTGGCAAGTCTGGATTGTGAGGAGAGAGATAGATTAGGGAAATCGGTATCTGTTACGACAGGAAAAAAGCCTCAAAACTGCATCCCCTCCCATCCGCCACAAGTGCTATTTTTGTTACTGTCATTAAGACTTTCCCATGTTCAGTCTGAAATACTTAAAGAATTTTAAAGCATTTCTTTCTGTATGAAGCTGCATAAAGGAATTTCCAAACCGAGAAGCAGTACTTAAAATTGAAACAAGTATTTTTGTCATAAGTGATCTCTTGACCTAATGCTTATACAAAACATTTTCCGTATATGACAGTCACCTAAAATACATTTAAATACGTTCAAGTTTGGAAATTTATAATAAGAGATGATCTTACTGACAGTTTGCAACAGATAACAAACCTCTGGTATCTGGATATATTTTGAAGTCTGATGCTCAATGTCTTTAGTCTATAGCAAAGGGGAAATTTAGCATGATGCTAAAGAATTTAAACATCAGTAATAAGAACAAGTGCCATTTCTGTAAGTTAGATATTAATTTTATTCTTTTTAGAAATAAATATTTCATGCCCAATCAGAAGCACTGAAATCATTGTCACTAAAATCAATAATAACAAAAAAAAAAGACATTTTGTGAAGTCAGAGGCCTGTGTGCTGGCAAAGAAGAGTGATCCCTGTGATTTACAGCTCTGTTAACGCTCCTGAAGAACTGGAAGGGGAGAGTTAAGCTTGTCTCATGGTCTACGCTGGCATCCAGGGCATCATTGATTCTGGAGGAGCAGTGCTGCAGAGGTTTCTGTTACCAGCATCCGCTACTTTTTGAGGATATGGAGCACAAACTGTTTTTGACAAAGTCAGGACTGGTGTACTTCAGATGCATGGTACTACAGAGTGGTTGTACTGCAGTCAGCAAGCAAACTTCTTCCTTCTCAGAACACCTGCAGAGATGTTAACTTAATGCAGTGCGGATGATCCCACAGAGCTTCCAATTCAACAAGAACTTGTGGCAACGAGACACACAATTATTTCCTAAGAGTATGTCAGACCCCCTCACGTCCCTTGGGGGGTCAGCTATGGCCAAAATAGAGTCATTGCTGCCATGCGGATTTCATTCCCTGCTCGCTTGTCCTTACCACTCATCCCTTCCTCGGTGGGAAAGTTGCTGTGTATGCTCCCTCTGCTTTGTCCTTGTGACAGTGCCAGGCAATGAATACACTTCACTGGTTTTTGATGACTTTCCAGTTCCATTTTTTTTGAGGAAAATCTCTACTACCTGGTAATTTAGAATGCAGGACTAGTAAGCATTTCTCAGTCTCCGTAGTTATTCCTTTTAAACTACTTTGTTTCTTGTAAGTTCCATCTTTAGTTTGTTGCTGCTGTATATCTTTTCATAGAATCTTCCTGATTTTTTGCTTGTTGTTTTTGATTTCTTCGTTCTACTGACTGGGAAGTGCTTGTATAGCTGTCCAAGCAGTTCTTGATTTTGATTGACTGATCTGTCAGTTCCAAGGGCGAGTGATTATATAGAAATGAATTGGCTTTATTTTACTTTTCAAGTACTTTACAGTGAGTATAGGAGCAATATGGAATTACTGCAATACGGAATTCAGTCTTAGAAATATTTTGGCTTTTGATTTCACTTTGCTTTTAAATAACTTCCCGTCCCCCTTATGTTTAGGAAGTACAGAAGTTGAATCAGCAACTAGAGGAGAAAAATGGAGAGATACAGCAGATGATAAATCAGCCTCCGTATGAAAAGGAGAGAGAAATCTTACGACTTCAGAAGAGCTTGGCAGAGAGAGAGAAGGCTCAGGCCACCAGCGATGTTTTGTGCCGTTCACTCACTGACGAAACTCACCAACTTCAACGCAAATTAGCATCCACAGCAGAAATGTGTCAACATCTGGCAAAATGTCTAGAAGAGAAGCAAAGGAAAGAGAAGGGGAATTCAGACGACCAGATACCTACCGAAAGATCTAATCAGGTATTCTTACTGCTACTATGTTTCTTTAAAGTCTTACTAGCTTCTGAGGTGTTAATTACCAGATGACAGTTGTAACTGGGGAGTGGTGAGAAACATCCCTTTAAATAACGTCATGCAGGGTGAAAAGACTACCATGGCAAGCTCTAAATTATTCTGAGTACCAAAAATTTAGGACGGAGGCAGTTGTCAATCACTTGCATTTTGGCCATCTCACTTATCTCGTCATCAGAGGGTTTTTTTGGAGAGGAGAGGATCTTGAGAGGTCCCTTCCAATCTCAGCAATTCCACAATTACAATTCTTCCCGGCATGTACAGGAGGCAGTACCTTCTTTATACAGCAGCATGCTTCTGTGCATCACTAGGTGGTGCTGTGCTTTTGAAGGTGGTATCTCCTGATCACTTGTTTAAGCATCTAAATCACAAAACAAAGTAGAGATATTTTAAAGTAGTATTTATATTAAGAACTCTATATAGCATGTGGTCTTCTCAGGTCAGGATTTGGTTTTGCACACGCAGTACAGACCTACAGAAAGTTGGTTAGGGAAGAATGAGTCAAGGTGTCTTACCTTCCTTTTTTTTTTATTTTTTTGCTCTGGGGTTCCCCGCTTGACCCCCAGTGCAAGGCAATGTTTCTTTCCAGCTGGGATGTTTAGAAAAATTGCTTCATGAGAGGAAGGTGGTGGAAATGCCACTGAGGGGCACAAAGAAGCACCTGGAATTTGGCATACTTTGCTAATGGCTGTGCGGCCTTGCTGCATCATCACCTCAGCTGAAGCTTTTCAGCGTAGGGTAGAGGTAGATGGTGTTGTTCTGTTGTTCCAGAAATCACGATGGTTCAGGCTCATTAGGTAATTCGTGATAATACCATAAGGAAATAACATTAGAGGTGCTGCCTCCAATAACGGATCAGAGTATTGAGTAGGATGCTACATCCAGTTCTCACAAAAAAGAATAATTCTGTCTCATGCTCTTACTGCTACGCAGTGGCAGTGCTGTGTTTCACATGACCACTCATCTGTGCTTTTATGGCAAACTCTGTACATTGCTCACTTCTACTCTGTAAAACATCCCAGGAGCATTTCCAAAGAAAACTTATTCACATTGAAGTTACCTGTAAGAAACAGTTAGAGGTTGACTAGGTATAAGAAAAAAAGACTTTTTAAGGGACTTGAAGCATTTAGTATGATCGTATTTTACGTGTAATTGATAGACAGGAAATTGATTGACTTTGGTATATGTAATAAGTAGCTAACCTTGTACAGTGGGGACTTCCCTGTTGAAGAAGAGAAATTTCAGATGCAATTACTAGCTGATTCTAGGGAATTTTGTACAAAAGTGATCTATATTACTCATGTACACCGGGGTTTTTTTAAGCAGATGTCACAACTGTAAAAAAGGGGTATCATTTTAGTCAATTATTTAGCAAGCAGGGTTTTTTTTCCCTCCGTAATTTCTTCCTAGTACTGGCCAAAATTGACAGTAATAACAAAGCAAGATGAAGGCATATCTGTATCTTTGTCATGCATTCCCCCACTCCAAACAAGTAGCTTCCTAGGGGTTTGTGTAAACTGTTAAGCTCTGTTGTCATCAGTGTAGACCTTCATGCATGTAAATTGTGTGGTATTTTTCTTGTTAACTTTAGTAGGCTCAGAATTTGGTAGGACAGATATGTTTTGATGACACCACACAGATCTATTTAAAAGCAATACCAAGGTGGTAAAAACCTGTGTACATTTTTGCTCTGCTTATTAATAATAAAAGCTGTAGGCTATACTATTAGTATTTAGAAATATACTATGTAGAAATAAGTAGACCTAGATGTATGTATTTGCTTCACTGACAGCAAATAGTTTTAGAGGAATTTAAAGAAAGATTACTTCCAGTTTAACAGTATAGCTAAGTAGCATTTGGGATTTTTATGTTAAAGTAACACTTCCTTTATCTGAAAATTATAGCTTTTGGACAATGAAACTTCACTTCAAGCTCTTATCTGCAACCTACAAGATGAAAACAGGATGTTAAAACAAAAAGTAGCTCATGTGAGTACTTTCATTTTGTACAAGATTAAGTTTTGATTGAGTATTTTGAATTACAGTAAATTTGGAATAGGTAAGGCCTGGTTAATCTAATTAAATGGCAGTTTAATGCAAGTCCAAAGTTTTTCTTAGTCCTTTCAACATGGCACATAGTCTTTGTTCCCTTAGCTAAGAACAACTTATTACATTATTTTTTAATGTATCGGGGTTTTTTTTGTTAAAAATACACTGCAGAAGAAATTTTTTTTCGTTTTCCTTCCATGCATCAGTATTCTGCCCCAGGAGAACAGCACTAGGCCCAGGGTGACACCAACCCCTCCCATTCCACATTATTTCATACTGTCCCAGTGGATTGGCGAATGGGGAAGGCTGCCTGCGAAGAGCCTGGCGTATAGCAGGATAATAATCTGCTCCTGTAAAGTGGCTTATCCACGCTCAGCGGCTGAGTCAGCATATTACATTAGCTTTTAGAGGATTTTGGTCCTGCACATATAGAGTCTATGAAAGCCTGGAAGTTTGTGTCTTCATGTTTTTCATGACTCTCCTGGGTAATCTTTCAGGTGGAAGACTTAAATGCAAAATGGCAGAAATACGATGCAAGTAGGGATGAGTATGTGAAGCGACTCCACTTGCAGTTAAAAGAGATGAAGTTGCAACTGGAGCAGCAGCACGGCGTAACTTCAGCACAAACAAATGCTGACCTGATGCACAAGGAGATATTCCGGTTAAACAAGCTACTGGAAGAAAAAATGAATGAGTGCATAAAAACAAAGAGAGAATTAGAAGATGTGAAGAAGGCCAGTGAAGGAGATAATGAGCGCATACAAATGCTGGAGCAACAGGTCATTAAGTTTCTTTGTCCTAGAGGTGGGAATTCCTAGTTTCTCCCCAGACCACTGAAGTCCAAGGGGGGAAAAAAATGAAATTATTTATTTTGACATTTGCCACTTGTCCTGCCACATTTGGCTATACAGATACTTACCAACACAGATTTAAAGGAAACGCACTACTTAAAGAATTGCATGCAGTTCTGCTGGCTTTTATACAAAATATTAAAAGGTCTAAAAAAGAAATACCTTTAAAGTACGGATGTAATAGAGAAGAGAATATTGAGATTCTGGGAATAAGTATTTACAAACAAAGGAATCACAGCCTCAACTTTTTAATCTAACCTGCCAATGCTCTAATTCATAAAATATTAACATAATAATTCTTTTTCAGGTCCTAGTTTATAAAGACGATTTCACATCTGAGAGATCGGACAGAGAACGAGCACAGAGTAAAATACAAGAGCTTCAGGCAGAAGTTGCATGTCTGCAGCACCAGCTAGCAAGAAGACAGGTAAGAAAGCAACATGCTAGTTTTTCAATTAAAACATGTCAACAGAATTCAGGACTAAAATATACTTCAAAATATGTTTTAAAAAAAAAATCTTAGTACTTCTAAAACCATTTCAGCTCAGTGCAGCTATCAAAAACTTAAATTATTTCATAGTCTGAGTTTGAGTGGAGATGCTTCCCAATACATGTGTAATACCCCTTTCTAGTCCATTTTCCTTCTGTTTTGGATCAACGTAGTAAGGGGGAATTCTTAGAAGGAAGAGAAGAATGGCCATGACTCTTGTAACAGTGACATCTTTAAAGTAGCATGCTGGCTATATTCTCTGTGTTTTCTACAAGCTGCCTTTACAATTGTATTAATAAAACTGCAAAAACTGACGCATATTTGATTTACAAATCTTCTGATAAAAACACGAGCCGTGTTTCAGATAAAGGTGATAAAATATTCTGTTGTGAAGAATATCTTTTTACTGTATCTTTTTCAAGAGCTCTTCTTTCTCTTTCTAGGACTCGAGAGACACAAGTAGTCATTTCAGAGTTCACGTTGGTAACCAAAATCATATGTACGTACAGACGAACGTTGAACATCTACGAGGCAATAGCCCGGGCCAAACAGGCAGGAGAAGAACATCCTCACAGGCTGAACAAGCTTCTCCCCCTGCGGACAGTGGAAACTCGGGATCCGAGGGCAGGGCACAGGGTGAACTTAGATGCCCTCATTGTATGAGGTTTTTCAGTGATGAACTCAGCGATGAATTCCTCAAGCATGTTGCTGAATGTTGTCAGTGACCACGTGATGTGAGGCGTGTAAGTCAATCACTACTTTATAGACAGTAAAACTTTGTTCTATACATATCTCCTGCAGTCCTAAAACAAGAGTAATTCAAATGGACAGCTCTTAGGAATTAGGAGGATGAACAGTATCTACCTCTTATTTGATTTCACCTTCTCTTGGACTGTATGAAAGACTTCAAGATAAAGCAAAGTGTTTTTATGAAGAATTATTTTTGACAACTATGAGGAAGGCAAGCATAATGCAAATTCTACTACAAAGTAAACTGAAACTTACAGTGGTAGTTAGCTTCAGAGTGCAGCTTGACTCGTATCTGAATCTAATTCTTCACGGCAGTCTGAAGGTTTGTGAAAAAAATTACTGAACTTGAAATTTTCCTCTTCCATAAATGTAGGCTGAAGAACAGGGGAGGAGCATTTTGGCAAAAGACTGGAAAAATCTTATTGTGCTTTATCTGGATTAAAAGCGAAAGTATTTTCTTTTCTATCGAGGCTGAACTTTCAGACATCTCATCTGAAAACCCTTGCGTTCAGCTGAAATCAGGAGAAGTGAAGAAAACCTAAAAGGGCTGGTTATTGACTAAAACTAGCCTGTCTTTTTGCACAGAAACGATGTACAGGAATATTTATTTTTTCTGTGCCATAAGTAACTATTTTACACATTTGTAAATGTATATTTGTGTAATTATTGATTGTATTCCTATTTTACCTAAGGGTTATTTTTATAATAAAAGTGGTTGTGCATTTGCTTTACTACATTAGTAAAGTAGTCAAAAAATCTCTCTTTCAGTGTGTATTTAAATGTGAAATAGTCCCAGTAACTATACTAAGGGCTACCTAAATGTCATGGTTTCAGATATGAGTTACTTCATTACGTCAGTGATAACCAGTGTCTCAGACTATTTTCAAATACGTTGAAAAATCACTCCCCATTTATGAGAGGAAGAATGACCTTTCAGATGCATGAGAGCACATTTAACGCCCTACCCTGCCACACACCTGTGACAAAGCCAATGCTAGCTTAAATTGCTTTTTCATCCTATCTACACTGGAGATACCTTCAACAAATAGCAGGGCACTCTCTTGAGAAGTGTTAGAAATTAAGATGTACAAATGTAGCAGGGCCACAGGTTTTTTTTCAGCCTTGGCTCCAGGCGTTTTTTTACCATGTCAGAGCTGGAGCTGAGGATGGGATACAGGCAAAGTAAAGGCCTAGTGCAACCATGACCTTTCATCAGTAAAGAAAACTTCCTTTGTATACCACCACCACTACTGTCTTCTGCTTTGCTTCCTTCCCAGTACTACACTTCAGGAGGATTGTGGGTATTTTCCTCGATATTTCCTTTTCGTGATCCTGTTACAGCCCCAAAGGAAGAAGATGGTTTATGCCAGCGTTGCCTTAGGTGGCATATTACCAAAAGGGATGCATGGGCCATGGCATGCCGTGTCCAGGTGCAATGGTTTTTCTTAACCTAATCTTGAACTGACTGCAAACCTGTGATTGATGACTAGCTGTTTTTTCCCCAACACAACATGCACAAACATGCAGAGATTTTTCTTCTTTTTTTTTTTTTTTAGTGACCATTTTATACATCGCCTTTTAAGGTCTTCGAGATTAGATGCAGCCCACAGAACATAGGCTGAGAAACATATGATTAAACTTCCTGTGGCATAAGCTAATCTTACTTTTTCTGACTGTTCTCATTAGACAAGCCTTGTTTACAGCTTCGCTGTACACCAATACTATATTGCCAGTGATGGATACAGCAGAATACGGACCGTTTTTTTAGTGATACACATTACAAGATAGTTACAAACGCAACAATAGAGTTAGTTAGATCTTGGCAGTGCTTCATTTCTTATTGCATTTGAGATGATCACTGCTTTAATACACATCAGTCAGAGGCTCAAGTCTGCTAGAGGTTTCCACTCATGTTAATCCCTGTGGGTGTGGTTGGACAGCCTGACCTACAACCATTAGAAATGGATGCAAGAATTAGATACAAGACTCTACAGTACACAGAAATTAATAGTACATACTCCTGTGGTTTTAACACCTGTGAATTAGTCCCCCTGTCAGAGCAGAGATCAGAGTCCGAATCCCGGGAAAGGAGGGCACGTCAATACTGGGCATCTGAATACATCTCCACGGAGGACCCCGCTGGACAAACAGACACAAGCAGGTGAAGGTATAGGTCAAGCACAGATTACAGCTACCACCTAAAGCTGTGCAATAAATAACTGGAATTTGAATACCTGTGGCAAAAATCTAGGACAGATCTGCTGTTTTTCAGTATAAAAATACCTCACTTGAGAGCTATTTTATTGTACCATTTCCTACTGAGTTTTTTTCGAGCTGGTAAAAAGCCTTACCTGTTTCTTTCTTGTTTTGTCTTAACCAGGAAACCAGAGACACACACTGTGAAGAACTACCAGTGTCTTAATGCAAATGTTTGCTTCAGATTATAGGGCATAAACTATTCCTCCTAGGAAAACTTGTCTATTACCCAGTGCTTAGACTTATACACCTAAGGCACTGGTAGATCTCTTGAAGAAACAGTATAAAATCTTTACTGGCCCTCTCCTGACCAGGCAAAGCATACACATCAAGGCCTCCCAAGCAATTACCACCACCACCTACATTCACAATTCAGGTTCCCCAACTTGTAGACCAGAATACGTTAAAACTGCCAGCTCCACTGCCCCAGCACTGAAGTGAAAGCAGCCATGAGTTCCCAGCATTTTTGGGAACCCTTTAAATTAAGGAAAGCACCTTCTGGCCCCACACTGGTTTTCTCTGCCACTTGGACGGCCATCCAAGTAGTGCGTGTCTTGTTTGGTTAAATGGTAAAAAGAACCCAGCTCCTTTCCCAAAAGAAAGCAATAAAGGCTATGAGTAAGAAAGTAACCGCATAAAATGAAAGGAACTTCAATAGCATAAACTTTATGAACTTTCATTATCCATTTGTACCACACTTGTTCGCTGAAACACACATCATCTGTAAAACTGCAGAAACAAGTCCTCACACAAGAGACTCTTGAAACCATACAGAAAAACTACGTGACCGTAAGGCTCCTTACTTGCCGTGTCGGTAACAAAAGGCATCCAACATAACTGAACCCTGTTATCAGGCAGTCAGCAGCCGTTTAGGCTTCTGTAAATCTCCCGTTGCTGGTGAGCAATGCCCGCGCCGGAGAGGCATGCCAATACTAGAGGTGAGACAGAGGTACTCTGTAGGTCCAGGGAAGCTGGGAGAAGGCAGGATAACTGCCTCTTCTGGGACTTGTGGGGATGTGGTTTAGCACATTAAGAGCTGACAAGATGTATTTGTCCAATTACCTGCATGATTAGTCCATCCTTTCTCCTAAAATTGCTCCCCCATTAAATTACCTTCCCTCAGTTTTGCTCTCCAAACCAGCCTGAGTTCAGACCCAGGACAAGCTCAGAGCTCCTCAGCAGCTGTCCCGCCAACAATGAGGGTTTCAGACCATATATCCTCCAAGTGCTGGCGAGCTGGTTCTCATTACTCCTGGACCTAATCATAAGGTCATACTCATAATATAATCATAATTTTGCTTGGGATTTTAAAGTAAATGCTGTTTACTAATAACTGTGCTGGTTGCCATGCAGAAGTAGGCGCTCAGCACACAATCACAACAGCAGCTGTAGGCAAGACTGACTCACTGACTCTCAGAAAATACAACTGGGAGAAGCCTCAGAAGTTGGTCCCTACCCCAAAAGGCCGAAGGGAAAGAAGCTCAACAGTAACGCTGCCTTCTGTAGCATGGGCAGTATACAGCCTAGAAAGGTTCTCCAATCTTCTGCGACTTTTAAGGCAATGTCTGCTTCCCCCTTCAATGACTTAGGGCATCACACCTTTTAAAACAAGCCTTAAATGATGCCTCAAGATAAGTGCTCACTAATAATAAAACCAACTACAAGAATAAAATTTGTTCAAGAAGCAGATACCTATGCTCTATGGTATTTTTTTTTAAACTTCCATTTCCTGTGGCTTCGCTGCATGTGTATATATAGAAAGCAAGGGAAATTCCAAACAAGATGCCACACCGTTGTACTCAAAACAGCAGTGCTTCTCATTCTAAAAAAGGGAAGTTTCAAATTCTTTTTCTACAAAATCTATGTGAATTCAAAGTATGCTGTAGTAATATTTCCTAGTACCATGCTCCAGTAGCTATCAGCTGGGGGGAGCAGCTAAAAACCTAAAGCATAATGCTTACAAAGCAGTAGGCCAACCCAGCAGGACCTCAGCAGAGGAATGGGGTATCAGGCTAAGCACTCTGCCTTCTCACCTGATGCCTCAAATCGCTCACTGAGGGCAAAGCGCAGCCCAGCACCCGCACCGAAGCTTGCCATGGGCCATGGGCCGTCCTAGCTGGGGGGCAGAGCTCCGGCAAGCTCGGGAGGGGGTTTACAAGGTGCTGCAGCTATGGCTGAAACAGGGACTCCTGAAAGGCACCAACCATCCCAAGTGGGACAGCCTCCACTCCTGCTGCTGCTCAGTGCATTCTTCCTCTTTCTCTTTAGCACAAAAACTTTTTCCTCCTGTTTTAGATTTACTAGCAAGAAGCTGTTGGTACAGGAACTGTTCCCAACACACACTGGATGGACGGTGTCTATAGTGGCCGATAACCTCCGTCAGGAGACTGAGATATTTCCATAGCACGTGGAGCTCCACTGTGAACAGCACTGAACCAGATGGCAGGCTGTGAGACAGCTTATTTCTAGAAGGCACCAAAACCCCCCATTTGAAATGTGTACTTGGCTTAACCATGCCAGTTCCCCTGACCGTCCTTCCCCAGGCCAGCCCCCCAGCATGCCTTCTGGAGACCTGGCTGATGGATGGGCCGAGCACCCGCAAGCAGGGCAGCTCCGGCTGCTGGTGCTGACGCCCGCCTCCTCGGTGTCACGCGAACTCACCTTGCCTGAGGCTTTCACACTCTAATTTCTCCAGGAGTGGGAGGGAGGAAAGAGCAGT